TGTGTTTATTCCCAGAGAAGCACAATATGGAAATATTTTAATTTAGGTAATAGTTATTTCGAAACTGAAGGACAGCATTCTCCTTATTTAAGATAAATCTAATGATGCATATTGATATTAATAGAGAAAAAAATTATTTTTCCAAAGGGATGACCTTTTTGGACCTGAATGTAAATTCAGATTTATAATTTGTATTACTTTTTAAGCTCATTACAATTTAAATTTTCTTGTATTTCCTATTTATGAGAACTGTAGTGTTGGGATAATTACCATCCATTTAAAAGTAATAAACAAAGGTTCAAAAGTAATTTGCCTCATTATGGAGTTGAATCCTTAAAATCCTCTATTCAGAAATTCAGTTTTTAAGAGATTCACTTGGAAAATATGTTTGTAAGTTAAATTGGTGTAATAAATGTTTTTCTATAAATTTATATTAAATGAGTCAGTTTTCTATAAAAAACACTTTAGAAACCCAAAGAACACCAGACATGAAGATATATAATAAAATTTGAATATATTATAGGATTATAAAATTACAATATTTTGAATAAACAATTTCACAAACATTACCAGAGCACACACACAGAAAACACGCTGCTATTTTCTAATGAGTTGTAATCTTCTAATTGAGCACATGAAGAGGAAGACTTAGCTCATATAAGGTTGGATCCTAAAAGTGCCAAAATAAAAGATAAAAAGAATTCCAATTTTATGTTCAGACTTTTCTCATGCAATTTATACAAAACATTAAGATAAGTTTTTTTTTTTTTTGCTTTCTTGCTTGTTTTGCTTTGTTAACTTGAATCAAATTAGTGGTTTTATATACCTTGAACTTATAGGTCATATAAAACATTATAATAAGAAATAAAGCAGTCGGTAAGAAATTAAATGCCTATCTTAAAATTTTAAGAGTGTAACATCTGAACCAATTACAAACATCAAGATTGTTTGGGGGACCACTGTGGGCCAATCAAAGGGATTATTCTGCATCACTGATCTCAGACTACTTTTCCCAAGGCAAGATGCTCTTCTAAGTTATCATTGGTACAAGAAGTGATGACTTTGAGGTACCAATTAATATAAATTGGGAGCGGGAGAGATATTAATTAAATGTGACACTCTGATTATTTAAACCTTCTATTTAAGTTGATCATTCAGAGCACGGTGATGGCTTGTTCTTCAAAAATGATGGATGGTATCAAGCTTTAGTGACTGCCTCTATATCTGTGCTTTCCAATACTTCAGAAGAGAAGAATAAATGATGTGAGAAGAACACGAGAACAAGTCTAATAGACAGACTGAGTAATCTCAGACCCCCAAGGTCAAAGCAAAGCAATCCATTTCTTAGCTTTCATCAACACAAGACATGATTTATCAATCGATGAACAGGATTTCAAACATTATACATCTAAATGATCTGTTCTTTGTACTGTGTAACTTTTTGAACAATGATAGATTGTGTGATATATTCCCTACAAAAGTAATGTCATGAGGCAAAACTCATTATAGTCCCCAAAACGCATTTAAAAAACAAAAAAGCGAATATGTCATCTGTCATTATTATTCCACATACCGTATGGGGAGATCATATTTCCAAACTAGATTCCTTGGGGTTCTATGCCCTTCATAGTCCAAACATTACACATTAATGTCCTTGAAAATAGTGTTCTTATTCTAATACATTTATTATGTGCAGTTTGTCAATGAGTTACAGATAATTACTAAAGACAGTATAAAACACCTCCGGATATTTCTTGTTTTGTTATAAAATTTAATGGAGTTTGAGAGATGGCTCAGTTGGTCAAGTACCTGCCACTCAAGCCCAAGGATCTGAGTCAGATCCCAGCATCTGTGTAGATAGAATTCAGGTGTGATGCTGCTGATAAGTCACTGAGACAAATGTGCCCCCAAAGCTCACCAACCTGAGCCCCAGGTTCAGTGAGAGACTCTGTCTCAGAAAAATGAGGTGATGAGGGATTAGGGAAGACATTCAGTAGGGACCTCTGGTGTCCATGGGCACGCATACACACATCTGCATATGCCCCCGCACTGATCTTTATAGAGGAAGAAGTATTGTTAACAAGAAAAAGTGCTATGAGAACATTTCTGAACCGTAACACAATGTAAATGTAAGGATAAATACTATTGTCAAGCTGTTCTCTCCCTCGTTACAGCACCTAAGGACTGTTCGATGAGGCATGCCTAGGAGAGCTCAGAAATGAGCTCACAGTGTCATGTCAGGTATCTGGGAGATGTCGCAAAATAAGATTACGTGAGAAGACTAGTCAGTGACATCATGCAGCTTCACTCTTCGTTGTACATCCCTAGAATCGCATTGCTTGTTTTCACTGACTTAACTTAGTTATTGCCTTTTTCCCACTAGTTTGTGGAAGATCTGATTGCTCACACAGAGGAGGTAGTAAAAGGGCTATACCCTTGGCTGATGATTCATTGCACCAGCTGCCAGCAAGTTGCATGTCTCGGCACACCTGGACACATGCACCGGTGACTGATTAGGAAACACATTTATCTTGGCGCATCGCAAAGGAGACACAACTGTAATTACTCTCCCTTGTAATGAAAGGCATTCTGGAACCTGTGTCCACCTCCCAAATAATAGAAAGTACTCTTTTGGACCAGATCCATATAATTGTGCCATCTGCTCTTGATACTTGGCTCTAAATATTTCCCAAATCATCCCGGTGTGCTAAAAACAAAATGCAGTTTGGAAAGACTTATTCTAACTGTTAAAATGGTCACACGAAGTCATTTTAAAACTGAACACTAATGAAAATGATCAAAACTCTGAGTTTCTTTGGCTAATAAATACAGAACATTTCATTAACCTTCACTGTGTAGTTGGAAAATTTTGTGGATTTATTGTTTTTTAAATTTAAAGAAAAGGACTATTCTGGCTAGGTTTTTCAGAGTCCTCTGATTGAGAACTGACTTAACTAGGTATCCTGTGCAAAAGAAGAAAAAGGAATCAAAGCTTTTGTTCTTCAACTTGTCTCATTATTATGACCCCAAAATTCTGGAGACTCTTAACCTGTACTGAGAAATCCTGTATATTAAGACCTTAAAGTGAGATGCTATATTAGGAGACTAGAGAGATTTCATGGCAGTTAAAAGTCTGTATCAGTATCTGAAACTGAGAGATGAACTACAGTTGAGGAAAAGGACTTCTTCACCCAAGAGCCACTCCAGGGCTATGTATCAGAAACACACAACAGCAGTATGAAGTACTTAAAGACAGACACTCATACATACACATATAATAACAACATGTCCCTAGCAAACACATCTGTCTATATTGTCAAATAACTAAACCTAGAACATTAACTGTGTCCATAACACTGATACTGTGATCTAGAACATGTTTACAAACCATAACTTGCTATTTTTTCATAATAAATATTCTCTTACATTAGATTTAGCAATCAGTCTCTTTAAAATGTTTTAGCTTTAAATGCCAAACTAAGTCCGAGTTCTTTGTTTCACATAATCAGAATTCAATAAATACTGCTCATAAATGCTAATACAAGCTGTCCTTTCTCTGGGTTGCAACATACGCACTAACGAGCCCGCAAAACTAAAAGGACTGGCCCACCTATGAATCTCTATAATCCGTGTGCTTAGTCACAAGGTAGCTTGCTTATCATCTCCAAGAAATGTAAGAACTTCCTCCTGGTAAATATTGACTCTACTTTTAATTTCAGTGACAAATGAAAGTAGTCTTATAAATTGACCATATTTCTTCATGAGCTGGTCTTCATGTTGCAATTACATATTGGTTTACATGGCAGTTGAATCGCATACGATGAGGCATCATGTTAACTTCCATTGTGGGCCTGTGTGTTCTAAACTCTGATATCTCTGATACTTGGCCACATGCAACCAGCTAACCATCTCCCAAGGTACCCGGGGTCATAATTTGATCTCATCCTACTTTGAACGGTCAACCCGTAGGCAAACTCTCTGATTCCAACCTGTTCCACAATGGTATACTTTCTTACCACCATACTTCTGTCCCTCTCTCCTCTTCTTCTCTTCTCCCACCCCCAACTCTGTTTACCTAGGGACATTTACTTGAGACTCTTGATGAGCCACGTGTCCTAGAATGAAGCTGAGAACATCTCATTTTCTCTTTGCTAGCTAACTCTGCTATGGTGTCAGTCACACCATCACACTTTTGTTTCCACACTTCCATTCATGGAGAACACAGTAAAATGCTTGACGATGAGCCTCATTCGTCCTGAAGGAGGCGCTTAGCACAATGATTAGTAGATAACCTATGCTGAATAAAAGCAAGATGAGTTAAATATCATTATATTTTATATTTTTAAATTTTCCTTCTTTAATTCAGAGATATATATTTTTTTCTATACAAAGCCCAATGTTTATTCACTAATCATGAAAATAATTTTGCAGCCTATTGTGACATGTTGTTTGACTAACATCAAATCATCTATCAGTTTTAAGGAAGAAAAGGTAAAAAATGAATAAATGAAATCACTGAGCTCCCAGTTTTACAAGTTCCTAGACTATCCTTCAGTTACTTCACACAGTTTCCATTCATCGTGTTATTCTCTCTAGTTACACGGATATTTTTAAGGAACATGTAGAAGTAATCAACTCTTTTCATTCAAGTTATACTTATAAAGAGCTCACATTAAATTATATGTATATGTTTACATAAAATAGGTTTTTTAAAAAATGCCTTTATTCTTTGCTACATTCAGATTACTAGGCAATTTAGCATTGAATATTGTATATGATCATACATAATGTGTTTATTATATTAATATTGATATATAATATATATTTGTGGGAGGATAATTTATTGTGAAAATTTAGGTCAGTTTATATAAAAGAACAATGACAGCAACAATGGTGAAATTAACCAATCCACACTGGGTTTCCTCCTCAAGCCTATGACTCAATTAGAAAACTCAAATTTTACTTCTAACAAAAGTCTTATAGTAAATGAAGTAACTTACTTTTCAGGATTTTCAACTTCTTCAGTAATAAAGTTGAGGTAAAACCTGCATTATACATAAAGAAATAACTATTAGTACATTTTACCACCATAATCCAAAGACTCACACGTTAAACTTTTAAAAATCAAACCAAGAATCATGAAAATTACATAGAAATGTGTGCAGAAAGAGGCAAATACAAAACCAGTCAGTACTCCTATAGAACACTTTCTACTAAATCATGGGGGAGGCATTAAAATGTGTAAGACACAATGGTGATGACAGGGGAAAGGCTGTAATCTGTATGACACGCTTCACAGGACAGCTCAGAACAGCCTGACACAATCCCAGGAAAGGGCACCAGAGCTAGAAGAGCAGGGCCAGCCATGAACTAAGGTTGAGGAAGCATTTCAGAGGAAGTTCCTCCCAAGCTGAACCTTCAAGAATGCCCATCATTTACTCTACTGAAGTGTTATGCGGCCATTCCAGGCCAAGGCTGACCCGAAGCACGGAGTATACCATAATGATTATGCAAAGGGGAAGGAGGAACGCTATAATATTCAGTCATACAAGTGTGTAAGAAAGCCTGGGGGGACACATTAAGTATTAGGTGGCCTGTGCTTCCTGTAAATCTAAATTTAGAGTTAGAAACAAGAGGGTCCAAATTATACGAGAGCCGACTTGTAGGGAACTGCTATTGACTTCCTACACAGAGCACAGCACACAAGTTAGGGACCAAAATTTCTAGAAATGATAGTGTATTATATGCCTCAAATTTTCTAGAAGAGAAAATTCCAAATATTCTACCACAGAAAATTTAAAACTATATTTTGTTATTGAAATGTTAATTACTTTGATTAATTATTTCATGTTCCATTCCTAAACCATAACCTAATTTCTTTGTACCTCAGAACTGCATACTATTTGCCAATTAATTCTAAATTAAAATAAGAAGATTAAACCTTCCATTCATACTTCTTCCTTTAGAGCCACTTCCAGTGTTTGCCCTATATAATTAGATTCATAAGCCTATAGAAGGAGGTCAGTCTCCGGTCTGTTCGGGTAGTTAATGTAGATACATTGTTACTTTACTACTCTGTCCATCAAGAAAAAAAAAAGCAGAGAATTTTGAACATTTCCCAGGTCCATGGTACTTTTCTGGGAAGTACATGTGAAAAGAAACATTTTAGGCACAAAATGTTTTGCTTTCATTGTCAATGGGATCTCAAACCCTAATGCTGGGGCCTGAGAAATTCTACTTTCTTCACAGTGAGTTTCTAGCAGCCCACACAGATGTAGCTAATGCTGTCCATCCTTGATTTTATTTTCCAACTAAAAGGGACTGCTGGAGGCCGTTTAAGCCCTACTAAGTTCTTCCTAAGCCTCCTCAAAACAACACTGAAGGAAATTAAGAATCCTTGGTGGTGGCGCTCGCCTTTAATCCCAGCACTCGGGAGGCAGAGGCAGGCGGATCTCTGTGAGTTCGAGACCAGCCTGGTCTACAAGAACTAGTTCCAGGACAGGCTCCAAAACCACAGAGAGACCCTGTCTCGAAAAACCAAAAAAAAAAAAAAAAAAAAAAAAGAATCCTCATGAGAACATTTGAACGTAACAACAGAAACTTGCTATATCTGCTTTCCATAAGCTCAGAGAACTCTTACAGAATAAAAGTCATGCATTCTACGGTCATTAGATGATGTGGGATTCCCCTCTGTATGCTGTGAATACCATCGGTTAATAAAGGAACTCTCTTGGGCCTCTGCAGAGAATAAAGGTAGGTGGGGGAAACTAAAGTGGATGCTGGGAGAAAGGAGGAGGAGTTAGGGAGATGTCATGTAGCCCTGCAGGAAATAGATGCCTGAACTTTACCCTTTATGTGGAAGCCATGTGGCAATACACAGATTAATAGAAATGGGTTAAATTAATACATAAGTGTTAGCCAATAAGAACTTAGAGCTAATGGGCCAAGCAGTGATTTAAATAATATAGTTTCTGTGTGGTTATTTTAGGTCTGAGCTGCCAAGCAGCCGGAACCAACAAGCGGCCTGTCTCACAACACTTAGATGCTAAAATAGCCTCTTACATGACTCACGGGATTACAGGTCTGAAAGTCAAATTCTCTTCTCTCTAAAAACACCCAGAATATTAGCCCATCGCCTGCCACATGCTTAAAGCACCTCGCAGAGTACAAGAAAGATGAGGAAGTGGGTTTTGTCCCACACTTGCAACAATCCTATCTGAAGTCACTAGTCAGTTGCGGTTCAAGAACAGGATGGCTACAGACTTAATGACAGCTTCACCAAATCAGTATTAGAAATACATTGACTGAAGAGAAGGTAGCAATGAGGGTGATATAAAAGGGCACACATACACACATATAAAACTAATAATACTTTTTAACAACTAGAAAGTTAAATTTCTAGGAACAGCAGGGTGCACTAGTAGCAGAATGCATGCAACATTGTTAGTATAGGGAAAGTGACAGTCAGTGAGATCCTTACTATGTGCACGCTCCATCTTTCCCCATGTAATGCAAGACTGGCTGGAAGAATTATAAGTGTGGACGAGCTACTATTCCTGCATTGAGTGTAGCAGAGATAGTTCTGTGGAATGTGCTGTTTGAGACAGATTTGACAAGTGCATTATAAGCCTGAGGCAACAGGAAGTAGGGGAAACAAATGCAAATCAATAAGCAAATATATAAATAACACCCAAAACTGAACAAATCACATGAATTAAGGAATAGAGCCAGGCTTTGCATGTCAGAGATAGCCAGTTGCTTATTAATAGTTGACCAACTGTTTTTTTTTCCCCCCCCGCAATAACCTTAAGGCAAGAAGGGAACTATTTGTGAAAAAGAATGTGACTTCAAATATTTTTCCATGACTCTAGGGAACAGAGAAAAGGAAAGTGGTTGGGTGTAGCATGTAGGGAAGAGGAGGAAAGCAGATCACTTGAGTGCAGGGGTCCACGCACTGTGGGACGTATACCTTGACATCTGTCTGCTCACAGTATGGGCCACAGTAGTCCGTTTCCCCTGGTTTACATCTCAAGGCCCTGGAGAATACTTACAAAGTCTATTTTCCCGGGTTTTCTAGGACTGGGCACAAACTACACTGTTGACCCTGCACTGCAGCACCCAGCCTTGTACATGAGTCTTTAAGGAAGCAGATTCTCCAGGTGAGATCTGATACAAAAGTATACAATAACCGTGCCCTGTGCTTCGGGGAGACTAAATCCATTGAGGATCTGATTAAAGAAGGCAACAAAAGACACTGAAAACCAATTTTCTATCACACGGTGAAAAGAGAGGAGAAAAATCTCACCACGCTGGGCTTAGCTTTGGACCCAGATACAGGATTGAAATTGGTTGACTTCCCCAAGGCCACAGGCGGACTGGCAGATGTATTTCTCTAAATACGGACATTGGCAATAATGTGAAAGTTGTTCTGACCCGACTCTGTGACCTGACTGAGTTAATGATTTCTTTTCCCCTAATCATGTTTCAGTGACGGGATTTTTTTATCATTCTGGATAGGTTTTGTGCTCCTTAGATCCAAAACTTTACTCCGCTCATGGTCCCCAAGGGTTGGTGGTATCTTTTTCCTATTCAGCCTAACAGCTGGAGGTGACTGCTCTTAGAGCAAGGTATCCAGGACAACAGAGGGCAAGCATGCTGCCCATCCAAACAGGTAGCAGCCTGACTTGCAACTCCTGACTATAACTGCTTTGCTTCTGTCTCACTACAAAGCCTCCACGCTGGGTTCCTCTCTCTCTCTCTCTCTCTCTCTCTCTCTCTCTCTCTCTCTCTCTCTTTCTTTTTTCTTCTCTTAGTCAAATACTGTTCTACAGCAATGCTGGGAGTGGTAGCCATTTGCAGTCCGAATGGATAAGTGTGCAAACCAGTTTTGCAATCATATGTCAAAAGATGGGAGAAATTCACTGGGCAGCGGTGGTGCACACCTTTAATCTCAGCACTAGGGAGGCAGAGGCAAGCAGATCTCTGTGAGTTTGAGGCCAGCCTGGTCTACAGAGTGAGTTCTAGGGCAGCCAAACCTAGCAACACTGAGAAACCTTGAAAAGAAAAACCAAAATAAATAAATAATATGTAGAAATTCTGATAACAAAGATTGTTCTTACAATGCTCCTGTCTTTGAGACCCATTTCAGACCCCACTTTGATCCATTTACATGGAAATAACATCTGTACTTCTGGAGTGCCAAACCCACAGACTCTTTCTTTTTCCACTTCTGTTTTCTGAGACTGAGGGCCATAGATTAAGAACCAGATCATTCCCCCTCTTCACAAAGCACCATTAAGCCTAAGCCATTACAACAACCTATAAAGCTAAATCGTTCCCTGTCATCCTCTGGCTAAGCCACTTGGATCACATAACCTCTCATTTACAATTCTAGACTTACTTTCCAATACTGTGACTGAACCCTCATGAACACACACAGACACACACACAATTGATGGTTCTTGGCTCTTCAAGCTGGGGTGAAGGCACAGAATTATTCAGGGGGGACAAAGTATAAATCAAATTTCCTGTAAACCTCCATCATAGGTGAAAACAGTGGCGCTTTGGACTTGGCATCAGTAAAATACAGTATTAATAAGATAAGTCAAGATGAAAAGACTCTTTTTTTCCAGAGAAAAATCAACCGCCCCTCAAAAACCTCAGAAGTGGAGAAAATTGGCGGTACATGAAGCAGGTGACCTGAATATTCAGTGCCGGGTGGTGGTGGAGTGAGGGTAAAAATGTTTTAATATTCCGTGGGAACAGATGCATTGTGCTCACAGGCAAAAGAAACTCCATTCAACAGAATTAATCAAATCTGCCTTGTGAAGATCACCACATCCCACATTCTTGACAGAGTACAACAGGCTCCCAGCACCCAGCTGGAGCTGAAAGCTCTTGTTCCCTCCCCTACTTTGCTCTGGGGCTCCCAGGGACCCTTGCTGTGGCTTGGCTGCTGCCCCAGGGCATGGAGCCCTGAACCAGGCTCAAAAGACATAGAAGAGTTGATTTTGCTTCTAACACTGTGATCACACTCGGTTCTTTTCTCTGCTTAGCACCACATTGTGCTTTGAACAAAAGTGAAAAGACTTCAAAACCACTGGGATTCGAAACTAAAGCGTGCACACAATGGCTGCAAAAAATCTTCTTCGGGTATACAAATAGTTTACACTGATCTTATGCTATAACCTAACAACTTTCAAACACATTTCACTTCAAAGCTATGCTAAACCTATGTAGCTATACTCTGCTGATTGGCTTCTAATGCCATATATTCACAATTTCTGAGATTAATAGAGTACATATGCTATTTATTTTGGAATGCATTTGTATATTCCCTAAAAGGAAAAACAAAAATAATAAAAAAGGAGGCAGAAAGAAGAGAATATTGTATTCATGTTAGATACACATTTACATAATTTTTGAGATAGCAAAGTTTCCTTTTGGTATGCTTAGGTTCAGAGAGTGTTATCACATCTTTAACTACCTGTTTTATAAATATGGAAAAAAGGAACTATTACAATTATTTACTCCAAAACTATGAAAATTAATCTTCCTGCAATGATTCTAGTGTTTTGACAATATTGTTGTACCTAGTGGGGTTTCTGGAAATAGTCATTTTAACTAAAGCTTTCAAGGTCAATAAAATTTAGTTGCAGGAGGTTCCTTTTGGATATTTGGTCACTGTGACTCATGGAACTCAACAGAACACTGCTGCCCCAGGGTGGAGGAAACACAACAGACAGGCGTGAAGGACGGAAGCACACATCCATGGCGTCATGCTGCCAAGCATCTCTGCTACCTGTTTGTGTTTTCAGCTACTGGAAACATTGTAATGAAATGTGTCTGGGCCCTTGAATATGCCCCATATTTGATCAGCTGACTTCATTATTGTGATTTCTCCTTCCCTGTCTTTATCATATGAACCATTTTGATCTTCTGAGACCATCTCATCTCTACATCTGAATTGTTTCTTCCTTGTGATAGGGTAGACAAAAAATAAATAAATAATTAACCGCTGTCTATAAATATCCTTGGTGTGCTTGCACCAAAGCCTTTTGACAGGGCAGGTACTAACCCTGAGTTCCCATGGCACTATCTTGTCCTCACTGATGAATAATTAGAAGTAATGCATACTAGCTGCTAAAACCCAGCATCTGTTTGTTCGTTTTTCTGCCACTGAACTAAATCTAATAGCAACCTTGACTGTCTGGGGTCTCATAAAATGACACTGTAAGTTAAAGACCTTGCCACACTGAAGGAAATTGGAAGGATTGCTGAAGAAGGATATCTTTTTAGTATCCTCCCACCTTTCCTTCATGCTTCTCTTTCTTCCCTCCCAGAGTAAACTGCAGAAGCTAGAATTTATGTTCCCTAAATGCTCATAGAAACTAGAACCTCTCTCCGCAAAGCCAACCGTAAAACCTAGAACTACATCTCTCGCTTGGTCCTGACTTTCTGCAGAAAGCAGCTGCACAGTTCTCTGCTCCACCTTGTCTCATAACACATCCTAAGAGTCTTGGTTGAGAGAGGAAATGTTATACAAGGAAGTCAAAGAGAATCTAAACAAACACGCCTCACTCTCCCTCCAGTTTGTTACCATTGCATTATATCCTTTGGTCATAAAAAATATTTTTCCTGACCTTTTAGGTCTTCACTTGTGAGAATCCCATGTCATTTGAAACTTTGACTAAATAATCACTGTGCACATGATATAATGAAAACCTAGTTGGGAGGAAATGTCTGATGGTTTCATCACTTGTCACTAGGGTCAAAGCTGACACTCCTATGATAACAGACAGATTAACAACAGAAAAGACAAATGAAATAATTTAATAAAGTATCTGGAGATATCAACTTACCAACCAGCATATGCGTACATCCCATAATAAAAAGCCAAGGGCAACCCCATCAGATTTGTATCTCTTCCTGAAAATGCATTTTCAAAGTGCTGTGTGTGCCCTGGAATTAGAATACAAGGATTTTTAGAGCTTTGCAAAGAATTGGTTTATAATTGGTAAATAATTTATTACAACCCTATACACAGTTGGGAGATGAACTACCCATTCTGACTCTCTGTTCATGGCCAACTCTATCTACTAATACCGCACCCAAGGTAGAACAGAAATCTCAAACACATACTTGTCATCTAGACCATTTTTAAGTTTTTTTGCATGTGACCAACTGGATTTAATGGGGTACTTAAAATAAGTAACTCCATTTCCCTTGCTTGAGTGTCCTCTGTTTTAACCATGACAGTTGCCTAAAGCATCTTCCATTAAACTGAAGTTTTAGGCAAAATTCTTAGAAGATAACAATGTGTCATGGTAGAGGATGAGAAGAAATCTTCAATGAGAAGACATCAAGAAATGCCTGCACTGCCTCCTACATCACATCAATTAGCCTCCGGCCTTTATCCCTAAAGTCTGTTTATTCGACACACCTGCCTCCTAAAGCAGGGAAGGCTGCAGACAAAATCCACCAACAAAGCTTATTCATATAAAGGTTCCCTGCAGCATAGCCCTTCCCAGTCACATAAGAGTGCCTATTCCCAGCAGCATAGTATAACTAACTGTGATAGGCCATTCTTCCCAAAGGGCTTTCTTTATAGAAATAACTTATTGATATTGTTTTGGTCCAAGCTACCATTTTCTTCTAGAAAAATGAATCAGAAATTATACCAAATCCCAAACCAAGTTTTACTAATTTTGGCATCAACATGGAGACGTTGTCCCCCTATTTTGTGAATAGTAAGTACCTTTTCCTTTTAATCTTTTGGGTAGTTTAAGAGATTACAAAATCAGATTTAGGTTAGTAAGTACAGATTCAAAATTAGTACCAAAAAGAATCTGTAGCATCCAGCACCCCCAAAGAAAAACAGCAAATGATATTATTTAGATAGTAAATGATCCTGCTTAAAAACTGACTTTTAATAAGTACCAAAAGGGGGCCATGAGGGCAGAAGGTGAATGATATATATATATATATCACTCTCTTGTAAGTCAAATATCAGCTAATGCTCACATCATGAGACCGAGAATTCATAGTGACAGAATGTGAGTATGGGGGCCAAGATGAACAAGTTTGTGCGACACGAAGAGTGATATTTTTCTCAAAGCAACCAACTTCTAAATGTAATTTTATGAAAACTTGACAGGGTAAATCAGAAATGCCCATTTTACTGAAATATTTTCGTGCCTTAATAGAAGGAAATTGTACACACTGAGTGAGATTCGGAAGAAGAAAAACGAACATCTGTCGGGACTTAAGAAGTTGCTCAGCTCCTAAAAGCATGTGCTACTCTCATAGAGGATCTGAGTGCCATCTGAGTGCCAAGCATCCACAACAGGTGGTCACAGTCACCTGCTGCTCTGGCTTCAGGGCATCTGATGCCCTAGTCTGGCCTTTGCAGGCACTTGTGCTCATGTGCACATGACCATTTGTAGACACACAAACATGTACACACACACACAATTACAAATAAAATATTTTTTAAAAGAAAGAAATATTTGTTGGGTATTCGTTTATGGTCCGTGGTCTCCTTAGCCTAAGAAGAGAATATCCTTCAGAGTTTGGCAATTAGTAATTAATGAGACAAAGGATCTAAACTGTAAAGACTGGGCCACAGTTCTTCGAATGAGCCTCTTGGAGAGTTTTGCAACCAGGCACATTGTTTCTGAACTTCGGGAATGTTTTGGATGCAAAACACAGGCCTTGGAAAGATGAAAGCGGCATTCAAAGGGAAGCTCCAGACCTCGTAAGCAAATGCACAGGCTACTTTCAGAATCTGGTTCGAATAGTAATAAATACACCACACTTATCAGTTATCTTTTTCTTCCTGGGGTCTCAGAAATGTGGAAAAACTAAATGACTGAGATACAAATTCTAAAATCTCAATTTCATAAAATTTCATAGTGAAATAAGGAAAATATGTCTGGTCTCCAAAGTCCTAAAATATGCTTCAATGCAGTAACATCCTCGGGGAATTTCTCTGGTGTGGGAGAAGCAAGAATTAGGGTGGGCCTATGTTCTGGATGCCATAGCAATAATTAAAATATCACTGTATTGTAACAGACAGGAAAGACTCGGGAGTTTCATCTGGCCTCTGTACTCAAGGAGATGGCAATGCAGTAGCAATTGCTAAGCATACCCCACTTTCTACACATACATAAATGAGGGGTCAGAACCAACTGCAGAGTATAACTACCTATCATATCTGGCATTACACCAAAAAGGAAAACCCAGAAATCAGCCGTACGTAGAAGGCCTAGGGACTCTTCCTTCGTCTGCTTTCCAGAATCTGAAAGGCTCTCTGCAGAAGACTAGAAAGTCAGCTCGGGAGATGACAGTACCCAGAGTGTGGACCATTTTGCCTCCATTCATAGTGGTTGTGAGTTGGCCAGCTCCATAGAGACCATGGAGAACTGGGACCACGAGCCCACATCTTCTCCCACATCGGCCCTGCTGTTCAAATGATTCATTGTGTTTACTCTGGGGCTGAAGTTTTGGGATTTGATGAAAGCATTTTCCTGGCAGGATTCTGAGATCGCCCACCAGGCTGGTTGAATGGACAAGAACAGTTCCCTCTCCCAGCTAGAGTGAGCAAGTTCTCAGTGTTCGGTGCCTCCACCGACGGCAATGATTTTGCTGAACTTTGCTGCTTCCTTGTGTGCTGTGGTAATTCCTCCTGCAGGCTCATGAAACTGCTCTATAACGTCCTGTCCTTGGAACTGACAATGTCAATGTAGACAACACTTAACATGCCCACATGATACCTCACCTCTTTCCCATTGATTTGCTCTAATCATTTCTTGCTATTTACTGATTCAGGCTCTTTTTCTCCTTCAGTCATTTCTACCAAATCTAAGCAAATATCATCATTACTAGGCCAACCCTAACTCCGTGATAGCGTTCCTCAAATTCTTATCTTATTTAGTAGGAAGTTTCATGACAAATAAATCCAGAAGTTGCCTCATTTCTTCAGAAATACAAATTTACAGAGAAAATAATGTAATAATAAGAACTAAGTTTTGTTTCCATCAGTTGCTGGATGAAGGTTCTATGTTGATATTTAAGATATTCATCAGTCTGATTACAGGGCAAGGCCAGTTCCGGCACTCTCTCCTCTACTGCTTAGGGTCTTAGCTGGGGTCATCTTTGTGGATTCCTGGGAATTTCTCTAGTGCCAGGTTTCTTGCTAGCCCTATAATGGCTCCCTCAGTCAAAATATCTCTTTCCTTGCTCTCATCTCTGTTCTTCCTCCATCTCTATTATCCTGTTCCCTCAAGTTCTCCTCCCTGATTCCCTTCTCCCCTTGTCTTTCTTTTCCACCCTCCTTACTCCTCCCACCCCACGCTCCCAGGATTTATCCCTACTGCTTAGACTGGCTATTTTGGGAACCTGTTCTCTTTGCATGGATACCTTGCTCAGCCTAGATATAGTAGGGAGGGCCTTGGACCTTCCCCAAAGCAATGTGCCTTACCTTCTCTGAGGAGTGGATGGGGGGGATGGGGTGGATAGGTGGAGAGAATGGGAGGAGGGGAGGGAGTGGGAACTGGAAATGAAATGTAAAATGAAAAAAAAAAAGATAGATTGTTTTCTTTTTAAAAATAAGTAAATAAGGGGCTGGAGAGATGGCTCAGTGGTTAAGAGCATTGCCTGCTCTTCCAAAGGTCCTGAGTTCAATTCCCGGCAACCACATGGTGGCTCACAACCATCTGTAAAGAGGTCTGGTGCCCTCTTCTGGCTGCAGACATGCACACAGACAGAATATTGTACACATAAAAAATAA